AACTGTATCGTAAGGTCATTGTTGCTTTGTTTATAGATATATGCCAAGTAAGAGTTGGTTCAAAGAAGAAGAATCACACTTAATCAACTAAAATAGTTAATTAATAAGTAAATACATACATAGCCAAAAGATCATGTGTAATATAGGTAGAAATATTTAAATAAATATAGACATGAATATAGATATTTAAGTCAGCTGCTGAAATCACAATAGGCTTCTCTAAGGCTTTATTGGGTTGGAGCACATATGGACACATTTTGTTTGTTTTTTTTGTTTGCCCTATGAAAAATGAAAAATGAGGGTTCTTAAAACACTGGTGTGTGAACTTGTGAGCACAGTTATAACCTTATATCAGGAATTGTACATAACGCAAAAATGTTTTCTCTATACTGCTTCTCTGACCTGTGTAAACATGAAAATGTCCATCAGAGTGTTAAGTACATAAGCTTTGCCTTTAGGATAAAACACTGAGAACCCTTAATAGTCACTAAATAATAATTGAGTACTGATTAATTGGCAATATCTTACAGACACATATCCTATTTTAGTTTAAATAATTTAAGAGTATTTTCTGACTCTAGAAGCTGTAGCCCTATTATTATTGAGAGTTCTAATAATTTGAAGATTAAAAATAATTCATTAAATTACATGGTAGGATATTTCTCATTCAAAAAGTAATTACCAGTGTCATTAAAACTGTTAGTCTTTAATAATAAATTTATACATTATTACTAATAATCTTGTATTTGTGTGTGTTGTGTGTTGATGAAATAAATAACAGTAATGTGTAGTAAGATCTGTGTATCTTCAGTAAGTACAAGGGAAATCATTAGAACATGTTTAATTTAGATAGATGTTAGGCATTTCGGCATTTGCTTTTTCATTGATTAAAGGACACATTTATGTGATAATTTTTAAGATGTATTACAAGACACAGTCTATCTAGTTAAACATTTAACATTTCTCAGGAATAATATCAAGTAATGCAAATGTAAGAAAAACTATGTATGTAATGAGACAATGATTCAAATATTTATCATTCAACTATAAAGTAAATTTTAGAGCAAGATGTATTTAAAAGTGCATCTCACACTGTATTTTATATATTTGTTGAGACTTCCCTTGTCTATAACCTCTGGCTTTTGTGTCCAAGTTAATCATGCAATGTCCCAGTGACATGGCCACAAAATTAAACTCTCTCTATCCATCACCCTTACAAATCCCCCCACCAGAAACAAACGCATATCACCTGCCAGTTCATAACCCACCTCTTTCCATCTCTAACAGTAAATCCCCTAAGTGGCTAAATGAACACATGCACCCGCACTGCTTCCAAAAGATCCACAAAGCTGGGCTTTGACGGACAGCAGAAAGTGGCACAATGAGAAAACAAAGCCTTTTAACTGAGAGCACTGCTTTGTTCTGCTCTGAACTTTAAGGTCACACCAGCTCGTTCTGGCTGCTGTGAAGATCTTAATTTTTACTCAACCAATTTATTTGCAGCTGTCATTCTTTCAGATATTAAAAGTTCAGCTCCTCGAGTATGGGGAATAGAGGGAGAGACGAATTAGAAGAGCTTGTTGCAAACTAAAAACAACAAAAACAAGTAAAATCTGGCTTGGCTCTGACGTACAAAAAGTTATTTTCAAAGCCTATAAATTATGACATAGTGATTAACATGTAATTTAAATATATTTAAACAACAATTATATCACATTTCCAGCCCAGCTAATTGGCTTCACAGATGTTCCCTTGGAGCAGTATTGGCCTTCCAAGGGAAAATGAATGGGGTGCTTTTTATCATGGAAACCAGATAAAAAAGCAAAATGAAAAAATGGAAACAGAAACATAAAAAGCAGCCAGTAACCCGAAACACATTGAATGTGAAGGGTTTCACTTAACTTTTTTTTTTTATTTTAATGCTGAAAATGGGGAAGACCATGAAGACACTCTATTACTGTGATGCTGTTTGGCAGGATGTCCAGAGACAGAGTTGGCAGGTTGCTGACTGAAAGATTTTTCAAAGCAGGGACTGTGTGTGCATTCTAATAGGGCATAGCCTTGCTTCATGTCTTAGAAGAGGCTAACAACAAGAGGTCCAGTTATTTTCAATATAACACCTTTACAATTGAAGGCATTCTAGCCTAGATAATGAAAATAGATAATGAACTGCTTTCCAAAGAAGAATAACTTGTTTTTCCTTTGATCAAGTTTTATAAAATGCAAAATGTGCAATCAATTCTAGTTCTTTTCTGTGATTCAGGTTGAACATTACCCAGTACAGCCATTTTTGCAAAGTAAGAGATCAAAGGAACACTGGTAATTGCTAGTATTTTGGAATACCTTGCCTTCTACTCTGTAATTATAGAATTGAAGTAAATTCACTGCAGCCTCATTTCACTCTTGTTTTTCCTTCTAATAATCTTAGGTAAATAATCACAGTGTAAATCCTAAAGCCAATGTCTATGACTTCTAATACATCCTGGTATCTCCAACCACAGTGACCAGTACTTTTACTGCTGAAATTTAATAAATATTTGCTAGGTACTTTCCAATTAATCAAAGCACGATAAGGGTAGAACTAGGGTTTGTAATACAAGGATCCACCAGACAGTTGTCATATTTCTTGTACCATTCCTCTGTTTTACAAATCACTGGAATATATAAAAATCCCTTCTCACATTTTATGAACAAACATATTTGATTTTCTGTCTTTATCAAAGATAGACAAATATGCCTATAGTTAAGATGATTGGAGAAAAGGTAAGCATTTAAAGATGTCTTTTTGATCAGTAACATTGATATCTTGATTGCTTGACTTTAAAAATTTAGTTTAACTAATATAGATATTTAAATTTTAGATGTCATCTACATTTATATAATAGTGCAGAGCTTACCAAGTTCATGTGTGTGTGTGTGTGTGTGTGTGTACCTTATTTTGTCATTCCTGGGAATACAGTGGAGCATTGGCAGAATTGCTCAAGTGTTAGAGCACCTGCCTAAGAAGCATAAGGCCCATCATTCCAGTACTACTGAGAGACAGAGAGGGGGAGAGAGAGATAGAGATAAACAGAGAGAGAGAGAGAGAGAGAGAGAACAGGGATGAAAATGAGAGTCTGAAATTTTTCACGATTGACCAAATTTATACCCTTTGAAATGGGACTGGAGCTTATACTTTTAACAAGGCATAAAGCCATCTGTATAGCACAGTACCAACTCCCATGGATTACATATTAAATATATCTCTAGAAGTGACCTTAAGTGTCCATCAACTGATAAAAAGATAAAGAAAATGGGGTACACATACAAAATAGAATACTATTTGGTCATCAAAGGAGATAAAATCCTGTTTTTTGCAACAATATGGATGATGAAACTGGAGACAGAATGACAAATACCACATGATCTCACTTATATGTGAAATCTAAAAAAATAAATCTCAAACAATCACAGATTAGGGAATGGGGACAAGAGGTTGAGGAATGGAGACAGGTTGATCAATTAATTAAAGTTAGATAGAAGCAAGAATTTCTGGTATGGTATTGCCCAGTAGGGTGACTATAAGGAACAATATGTACTATAGCTTCAAAAAACTAGAAAAAAGAGCTGTGAATGTTTTCACCAAAAGAAATGATAAATGTTCAAGGATAGATTTAAATGTTACAAAATGTATACATGTATCAAAATATTACAAGGTGCCCCATTCATATATATAGTTTTTATATTTTCATGTATTAGTTGAAGAAACATTTTTTAAATCCTTCAAAATTATATATCGCTAAGTATCTATTTTATAATCCTCAATGTGTTGTCAGTTGTGTTATTAGAGAAGGAAATAGGTATGTATTTTCTATGCTATCATAGCTGTGGGAAGAATTAAATTGTAAACTCATGCTGATGTTTCAGGACTTGTTCTTTGATTAGACAACCAGACCAAGCTTGTTAAATTGTTACTGGTTTACATTAAATAGTTAATCTCCTTGGGACCATATCCCTCTTAGATTGTTTTATGAATCTGTAAGTTATATGAACACTGACCTGAGATAATATTTAGCTATGTTTCATGTGAAAGGTGTTAGTGTCTTGAAGTTTATTTAAGTAATCTCTGTTCACTTAAAGTTGAACCATAGAGAATGCATATCATAAAATCAACTATTTTTGTTGCATTATTCATTATCCCCAGTGCCTAGAAAAGTTCTTGGCACATACAGCAGGTTCTCAATAAATGTGTTTAATAATTAGTGAAATGTACACATATGTATATATGTATATAATTTTATTAGAAATAACCCCTTTTCCTACTCCTAATGAGCATTGTCCTTCATAATTTATCATATTTTATATCTGCTTCACATTGGTCAAATGATATTAAGCTACAAAAATACAGATTTTTGAAAACTGAAATCTGATTATGACTGAGTCTAATGACATAAAAAAAAAAAGCTTGTTTCCAGGAAAGGAATTGATTTTTTAAATGTTCTGCTGCAGCTCAACTTAGAAAAGAATAAGAATGAAGATAAAATAGTATGTACCTTTTAATAAGGAGAGACTAAGAAGTTGACCGTTTGCTGAAACTTAATAACAAAAATTATTTCAGACAAATTGAAATCCACTTCTCTCTCCTTCTAGTCTACTTTTTCTTCACAGGGAAATGTTGATGCTATGATGTGGAGCCATTTCAGTCATTTGCCATGAAAAGAAGGGAACTCCCTCAAAAATATTATTTTTCCCTTCTTCTAGAATTAATCAGAAGAATGCTTATTGTCAACTTATAATTTTCTCTTCCAGAGATTGAATTAAAGTAATTAATTTCCTCAAAACATTTCAATAAGCTTGGTTGCATACAATTTTGCCATTTAGGAAAATTCACTGTTGTGCACTTTTTCCCCTTTGATTCATACAACTCATGTGCCCTTTCTTTTTCTTTTCTTTTCTATTTTTAATTTTTCATTCATGTTGCCTCTTATTATATCCATCATTCCATTTTTCTTTCTTATTAGAGTGAAATTGGACACAGCCCTCCTCCTGCCTACACCCCCATGTCGGGAGTAAGTATTTCATGATCAACCTTCATCTTTTAGGATTTTTGGTCTTTGCTTACCATGTTTCTTCTCTCTCGTCTCCCCATAATTTCCTCATTTTGCCTTTGCCAACAGTGAGTCAAGAATTTTCTGTAGATTGTGTAGATGTATTTATAGATTTCATTTATCTCAGTAGATAATCTAAAGCTTAAGATCTCACGCATCAACAGTAGACTTCAAGTTTTATCTGAATGATCTACCTGAACTCATAATTTATCCTTCTGGATGAAGCGGTTATCTTTACGCTCATGATTCTCGGTCATGTGCTAAGAAGTCAGAATCTCAGTGATGATTGTCGTTAGGCACTGGAGACCCAAGTCAGAGTAACCACAGGATAGAAGACAATGAGCAAGCATCACCATTCACAAAGTATCTTCTCTCAATGACATTTATCATGAAAATTTACTCTGAGTTTTGTATCAAAAATAGACAAATTTGGGAAAAGGGCATCAAATACTTTTCATTACATCATGTTCAAATTGGTTAGGAAATTTAAAATATATATTTCCAAATTATTTTCTCATGATTCACCTTTTAAGAAAGAGGAGAATTTTAAATGTTTCTAGTTGTTAACTCAAATTCATTAGCCAGCAGGAAAACAAAAATCAATAAATACTATTACTTTATTTGAAAGACGATGTTTGCTATCTTTTGCTTAATAGCATTCAGTTTTTACAGCTATTTCTAACAACAATTTCTCTCTAAATGTGTTTCTACTATTAACAGAACCAGTTTGTATACCGAGACGGAGGCTTCACTGCAGAACAAGCAATGGCAGTGCCCTATCGAGCCCCTACCAGCACCATCCCAGAAGCTCCTGTTGCCCAAGGTGCTGCGGCTGAGATTTTTGATGACTCCTGCTGTAATGGCACCCTACGCAAGCCAGTGACACCCCACATCCAAGAGGATAGCAGCACCCAGAGGTACAGTGCTGATCCCACTGTGTTTGCTCCAGAACGCAGCCCACGAGGAGAGATGGATGAAGAAGGATACATGACTCCTATGCGAGACAAACCCAAACAAGGTACAGATCAAATGTTCAGAAGTGATTGCATTCAATGTACACTTCCATCAAAATAAGCAAGGTACACAGTGGAAATTGCCACACAGCTAAACCATATAACATTTGTGAGCAGAAAAAGCCTATGCTCCTGATACTTTCAGTGCACTTCCTGAAATCACTAGCATCTACAATACATGTGCCTGTTAGAAATCAGGTTCTCAGGTCCCTCCAGAATAGGAGTCTCGATTTTAACAAAATTCTCAGGTGATCTCTTTATACAATCAAGCTTAAGAAGTATTAGCCTGTACTCATCTTTACTAGAATATTTGAGTATTTGTGGTATTATGTCACAAGATTTCAGATCCACAGCTCTGTTGGACTTACCATGGAGATCATAAAGACTGGTGGTGTTGGCAAAAGTGTCCAAAGCTTTTGATGGCACCAATAAAATATTTGGTTGATTCATTAAAATTATGTCATTTCAATAACCTAGTTTATTCCAGAAAATTAAGGATTCTGTATGATTCTTTTCAAAGTTAAATTCTGATCCCATATGTACTTACTTGTACTACCAAGAATGAAAATAATATTTTTGGTTTTACAAAGTTCAGCAATGACATTATAAGAGTTATTCATATAAATGTTGAACTCCCAAATAAATAACATTGCAATTGTGAAAAAGAAAAAAAAAATAAAAAACCTCTTTCCTTCCATGCTTAAAGTATCACAAAGCAGGGTAGATGAATGATTTTTATTTAAAAATGATTATCGTGTGTCTCAGAGTCTTCAGTGTCAACAGTAGACTACATTTTAAGACTCTATATAAGGACCTGGTGTGTCCTTTTTATATGGTTATGTTCACTTTTGTAAATGTTAATCTAGAGATTCCCGAGTACATATTACAAGTAACCTAATGTGATGTAATGAAGAGTTTTATTATATGTGGTAGCCCAGTAGTGACACAAATGTAGCTTTTGTGAATATGTGACAGATTCCCTGAAAGAAGAGTCCTCTCTAGGAAGATTGTCATGCCCACCCGTAGTTAAGTGCACAGCTTTATAAGTTCATAGACTGCATGAAAAAAAGGAAGTATCAGACTTTTACGAGAAAAATAAGTCATTCTACATAGACTCACTGTAGAGCATTCTTAGATTCTATTTTTTGAACACTGAGATCCAAGTTTCTTTCATATGTTTTCTCAAATTAATACTTGCTACTAACTGTAAAGTTTACCCTACTCTTGTAGGAGTAATAATAAAAAAAAATCATACAGTGGAGCAAGATTACGTAAGAGGAAGTAGAAGACCTGTATTCTAGTACGAAGCTGGAAAAATTAGCAGGCTTTTCCCTTTTCACAGTATTCTTGTGAGGATGAAATAATAATGCCTTGTAAATTAGTGAACTGAAATTCATATATATGATGATGAGGTATTCATGATTGCCTTTTAGCAGTATATTTAGTATATCTACATCTAAGGGAAATAACTCTGACTTGATGGGATTTCTCCATATATGTTGGACTAAGAGTATGGAGTTTCATATAATGATGGTATCTCAGTGAGTAATTGTGTCCTCTCTATGCCCTGACTCCAAACTTAGAATAGCATAAGTTTTTAATGCACATAGTAAAAGAGAGAGTCTTTATGTTTTCCAGGGTACAGAGGTAAAACTAAGGTTGAGGACACCAGCATTGATTACCATAATTTTTATTCCAGGCTAATACAGCTCCAGTGAATTTATTAGAAATAGCCATTAAAATAGGCACTAAGTAACTAGTTTTAACATACAAAATAACTATTATATGGTACTCAAATTAAGGATTTGCTCTTTTGTGACTAGTTTATCAATCCTCTTCATAAAAATTTGAATTCTGCTACATCTAAAGGCTATTTAATTTTGATAATTATTCTTATTTTCTTATATAAATTACTGACTTTAGAAAACAAAAGCATTTATACAACTGACCCCATAGGTAGGACAGACAAATGCAATTAGAAGGAAAGAAAAACAATCTGGAAGACAGGGATTCTTATCCCAGTCTTGTCAATGCCTTCTTTTGTCATTAACACTTTTTGTCCCTCACACACTTTTTCCACTTGGCAGTAGTACTCTACAGAGGTTTTTTTGAGAATTCATGAAAACAAATCTGTGAATTTCTTGTTCTAGACAAAAAAAGCTAACTCTTGTGTATAACCTTGGTCTAATTAACATTTTTCTGTAAGTGATGTTAGCTGATATTTTTGTATCCCTTCAGAATATTTGAATCCCGTGGAGGAGAACCCTTTTGTTTCTCGGAGAAAAAATGGAGACCTTCAAGCTTTGGATAACCCTGAATATCACAGTGCTTCCAGTGGTCCACCCAAGACAGAGGATGAGTATGTGAATGAGCCACTGTACCTCAACACCTTCGCCAATGCCTTGGGGAATGCTGAATACCTGAAGAACAGCGTACTGTCTGTGCCAGAGAAGGCCAAGAAAGCTTTCGACAACCCTGACTACTGGAACCACAGTCTGCCACCTCGGAGCACCCTTCAGCACCCAGACTACCTGCAGGAGTACAGCACAAAATATTTTTATAAACAGAATGGACGGATCCGGCCTATTGTGGCAGAGAATCCTGAATACCTCTCTGAGTTCTCGCTAAAGCCAGGCACTGTGCTGCCTCCTCCACCCTACAGACACCGGAATACTGTGGTGTAAGATCAGCTGTGGTTTGAAGGTGGAGAGACACACCCGCTCCATTTCCCCACCTCCTCTCTTTCTCTGGTGGTCTTCCTTCTACCCCTAAGGCCAGTAGTTTTGACACTTCCCAGTGGAAGACATAAAGATGCAAAGATAGTTATGTGTTCACCTAACTTGAACATTAGAAGGAAGGACTGAAAGAGAAAGATAGGAGAACCACACTGTTTCTTCATTTCCCTGCATGGATTGGTCAGGACAGTGAACCGATTAGAGAAGAACCAGAAAATAGAAGGCAATACAACTTGCTGTCAAAATAGTTGTGAACTTTCCTTCCTTCCTTTTTTTCTTTTCTTTTTCTTTTTCAATGCAGATGGTTGAAACACCATGCTATCTGTTCCTATCTGCAGAAATTAGTGTATGCATGCTCAGTAGCCCCGGAAATCATAAAAGTTTCCATTAGAACAAAAGGATAACCATTTGGATACCATATGATAGCAACTGAGATTGAGAATCAAATTTCTTTCTCTAGAAGTTTCTATCCTGGCAAGTAAGAATGGCTAACCCAGCTCTCACAATTTTTAAATCTTTGCCAAAGTTATAACTAGTAATTATGTTTGGAGGGCTTTTTTTTTTAATTTTATTTTGCATTGCTCTTTTCCTTGATATTAGTTTCTCCCCTAGTTTGGCTTTAATTTCTATTTACAAAGATAGTTACATAAAAGCTTCTTGAGAGAATTTAAAGAAAAATGTTTTAATATGATGAAGGCCACTGTTTTAAATTATCTAGTCTTTAAAATTAGAAGGGAAGGCCAAGACACTAGTGAAATGTAATATCAGCCCTAGTTATCATGTTTTACACTATTGAATATTTCTTCCCCCATCTTTTAAATTCTTCAATGTTTTCTTCTTCTCCATAAATAACAGAACTTGATAGGCAGTCAGTGATGTTAAAATTAGAAGGGAAACTAAGAGACGGTTCTGTGTGGTTCAAGAAAATTACTGACACTTGCAGGGGTGGTCCAATGGGGAAATCCATGAACTGGAAAAAACACACTGGATTTGGGTATGTCTACCTGGCAGATACTCAGAAATGTAGTTTGCACTTAAGCTATAATTTTATTTGTTCTTTTTCTGAACTCCATTTTGGATTTTGAATGAAGCAATATGGAAGCAACCAGCAAATTAACTAATTTAAATACATTTTTAAAAAAAGATCTAAGATAAAGACAGACTGTGGAAATACCAAGCAAATTAGGACTTTGGAACAGTATCCAGGGATTATGGTGAGAAAGCCAGCACATTACCTGCATATATCACATTTGCTACATAAGGAAATCTGTTCAGTTTGTGTACTCCATATAAAGTTAAGGATTGGCTTGAATTCTAGTATGAGACTCTATTTATATTGAGTAGAAAGTAACTCTTTGCACATAAGTTGGTATAATGATAATAACATAAATATTCAAAGCTTATGAATATGTCCTTAGGTAAAAATTTGTAAATAAATGTGAAAATATTCTCATGTAATTTTTTTATTATCCAACACATTAATCTTTTGATTCTTTGTTTAATAACTCTTGCTTCACATACTGCATCCTAAGTCTAGAAGCATCTTTATTGTTTCATTTTAAAAGAAGACCTACCAAATTAAGATGGGTAATGGGAACAAATGACAGAGTTGAGTCTCCAGGGAAACAGGGCCTCTCATCAGTAATTGGAAAAATTGGACATATATCTCTCTTCTCTATAAAATTCTGCCCTAAGTCATTTAGATTTTTTAAAATTATTCTTTTCTAATATTAAATATTGGGAACAAATTAGAGTCAATAACTAAAAGAAATAAACCAGAGAAAGTTTAAAGGAAAAATATCCCAGTAAATCTATGTTTCTACTTACAACCAGGTAAATGGAATACTGTCACTGACTTCAAATTTTACAGTCTAGGAGATTTATTTGGAATGACATTTTAATTTCTCCATGAGTCCAAGGAATCATATTGCATGAACTATTTTGTGAGTAACTTTCATAGAAATTTTTTTAGTAAAATATCTTCTGTGAACTCATATGAGACATTAATTAAACATCCTTCAAGTCACTGAGGTTGACAAATAGAACAGTTTCAATATTCTCATGCAAACAAACTAGTCTAGAAGGACATTATGTCGCTGGCTAATTAGTGTATCTAGATTGTAACTTCACCATTTAATCAGCAGCAGGTGATGACCATTGGCCAAAAACCTTGTAAGTGTTGGGGTTGGTCTCTTCTTACAGGAATTGAAAAGAGGCAAGTAGAAAGAATGAGGTCGAGGAAGGAGAGGAGCTTGTGAGGTTCCTTCTTATGAAGTTCAACTATTAACTTCCCAGTACTCAACACACAGAAAGATTCAGGGGCTCCAGCCTAATTACATGGAGCTCTCTACCCATTCTGAGGAGAGTCTATAAGAAAAGAAAACTTCATATCAATACTTGTGAAGAGTTGAAAATATGCCTCTACTTCTAGCTAAATCTGTGTTTAGTCATCACTGATAACATCCTTTTGAACACTATAACTTGACTTTTTATTTTCCTTTGCAGTATTTTTATGGTTCTTAGTGGGCTATGGAAATCAGAATCACTTAACTGGAGAAGGAAATAATAAACATTTAACTTTTGAGGTAATAGAAATATATTTAGTGTAAATTCACTCCTTCCTTCCTTAAAACACAGGACTTACACATCAGGTAATCTCCCACTTAGAGATTGAGGTGCATACAACTCAAGATGAAGCAAAGTGATTCCCAATAGCAGCACTTTATCATTTATTTGGAATGAGATTTCAGTTGCTTTGGAGTTTTGCTGTTGTTGTTTTATTTTTGTCCCCTAGGAAAACATATTGAGAATGTGTTAGAGGGAGGAAAAAAAGAGTTTCATTTACTCCAGAGAATAATTTGTTTAATGAAGTAACTGAAATTTTAAAATGCCCATTGAAGACTGCAAATTGCAAAGGGCTGGTGGAATGGCTCAAGTGGTAGAGCACCTGCCTAGTAAGTGTGAGACCCTGAGTTCAAACTCCAATAATGAAAAATAAAAGATTGCAACTTGCTAAGAAATATCAGATTACACAGACCAGTGACATAAATGGAAATATGTAAATTTGAAAAAAAAATTCATGTCAAAATTACACTGAATTTTTTTTGGTTTTTGATTGTTGTGCTGGGTGGGGTACAATGTGGTACACTCAATTTTTTAAGTCAACAAAATTTCTTCATTACATTTAGCTTAGGAAATCCTACTTTCAAGTATAGAAAATCTCTACAGCCAAATGGTTGTTTCAAGAAGTAGTTCTTAAACAGGTGAGCAAAGCAGTCCTTTAAACCAGGGTAGACCCAGAGCCACAACACTTCTACAAAGCAAAGTTGCCCGGATCTTGGTTTGCTAAATAATATTAGTAGGACAGATTAAGATGGAAGTCCTTTCTCCAGAGCCATTCTCGAAAAAGCATGAACTGCAATGTAAATTTCAAATTCTATTAAAACGCACAAACTGAAAGTGAGAGACTTACCAAATAAGAGACTTGCTTCATAAATCAGGAACAATGACTGAATAACTGTCAGTTGAGGGAAGAAATAGTGTTCTTCTAAGTGTTACAATGTATGACTGATACCTTCTGAGGATGGTGCACATCTCCAATGTTAATGAATGCTGCTAGATGAAGTGACAAAAATGAAAAGAAAATTAAAGCTGTTTAAGCCTGAAAGGAAAAGATGTAAATACAAGGTTTTTTAGATTCATCTAACCTTTATTTAAAAACTTAAATTATTCATCCATCTTTGACGGTTAATTTTTAGCTAGTATCTGTAGCTCATAAGGTAATAGAAAAGGTGGTTATAAAAGCATGTGTGTAACCGGGCAGACCATGATAATGCTGTAAGATGTAGATTTAGTTAGGTTATCAGATGTTAAATGATTTTACTATTAGTCAATAAATCAAACTAGAAAACTAATCACAAAGTATAATGTAACAAAATAAAAATCAGGATATAAAAATGTAGGATGGATTTTGCATAGTTAAAAAAATAAGTTTGCCACTTAAAATTGCTATTTGTTGGGTTTAGCTAAAAGTAGACACAGATAATTCCAATTACGAAAACTTGCTTTAAAACACTACAATTAAAAGGTTTTCTCACTCTTTTAGTCCTCTTCCAGTTGTTAAATGTATTAAGTATATAGAGAATTTCAATTTTTGAGTTTGTTTTGCAAATACCACTGTGTAGTGTTTAACAGGCAAATATGTTACATGTGACTAAGAAGTCTTCAAAATTCAGTAAAGAAAATGAAAATGTTCTATCACCTTATGCACAGACAAAAAAAGAATGGTGTCATTTAAGAAGCAAGCAAAATATATTTAATTTGTGACATGTCCTTTCTTGTCCCCCCATGCCTCCTGGCCTCCAAAACCAGCAAGGAAATCTGTCAACATTTTTCTGATAAATAGATGCTAAGCCAAGCATTTTAAACTATGATATTGCCATTCTTTTGAACTTCTTTTGGTTTTTAGACTGAGTTATATGGAGCAAATGAGAAACTCAAGTGTGTAAGCTTCTACTTATTGAACTCCTGCTTCCCATTTGCTTGAGAACAAATGACAATACACAAATGTAGATAAAGTATAATTTCAAAAGATCACTATTAGTATAGACCTTATTCTTACTGATGTCACAAAACCAGCTTTTATGCTTCTGGGTTGAATTAACACAGTTTTCTGATCCCAGAACTCCACATTTGCAAATGTGAAGCTGCTGGCGTTGTGCTGGACTAGAGCCCTTGGGTTTGTGCGGGCAAATCTCTTCTTTACGTGGCTGCTCGGCTCCTTTCATTAAAAAGGAAAATCTCTCTAGAATACATGTTCCAGACCCTCTGTTCAAGCCCCATGGAAATCTTAGAGGGGGAAGAAAAGATAGGATGTATCACTCATATCTGGCCAATTGATGGCTCCTACAAAAAAAAAAAGCTTCTGGAGTCACATGACAATGACGCTAAGCCCCAGTTTCATGGGGTATTTGTATGTCTCCCTTGGAAAATATACTTTGAAAGTCAACTTGCAAGCAAGTGATTATTTTGTTAGGAACCATGGAAAATTTTCTTTCTCTCTGAATTTGGAGAAAAATAACAACCTTACTTCCCCCCAACCCCCCCATTGACAAAACAGCCCTTCTTCTTTTTTTTTTTTTTTTGCTTTCTACTACCCTAGTTCAAGCTGGCTTTCCTGACACTGTCCCTCTTGTAAGCCATAGTGGATCTCTGAGTTCCACACCCTGCTCTGTGAAATACTCACTTAGCCTTTGCCCTCTAATGCCTGATTTTTTAAAAAGACTATGAGCTTGGGCATTGTTTAAATTACTTCTAAAAGAAATTACTGCACAGAGAACAATTACTTTAGGAAATTACAATTGTTTTCCACGAATATCAATTCTCTTACTATGTTCTTCTCTGTAGGAATTTGAGATAAGTAGCCTTGTAATGACTCTTGAAACTCACATGCATGCACATCTTCTAGCTCTTACATTTAATCTTTTCATAAAAACTACATATAACTGGTTGTTATAAAAATATAATCTTTTTTGCCAGCAGATTAACTTATTTACTTCATTTACCTTATTTTATTCCTGATTACAAATATTTTGTAGCGACTGTAATTTTTTTCTAAACAAGGACTTTTATTATCATAAAGAGTCTTCAGCTTTGAGAACCTCCTGTGACATTTTCAGATCATTGTAACAAATTTGTAATGAGTGCAGTTTCACTATAATGAAAATCCAACCTGTCTAATAGAACACCTTCTTTCTCTACTTTCACTCTTTAAAGGTATTTTTTTCTTTTAATGCTCCAGTGAGTGTCCCTCCACATCATAAGAAATGGTTATATTTGTACGAATGTACAAATATAGGAAAACAAAGCTTCTTACCTGTAGGCAATAGTCTAACTTGTCCAAACCAATTTGCCTTTACTGCTATTTTTACCCCAAACATATAAATATTTTCCCCAGGTCTATAGCCCTTTTGAAGGAAAGCAAATCATACCTCCTATATATTGACCTAAACCTGGTTTTCAAGTGTTATTTCCAGATTTTTCAGTTAAAGGAGGGGTTGTATCTTTTCCCTTAATATGAGAATCATTGTCCTGTATATTTCTGGATCTCTCAGGGGCTGGGAGCAGGGAGTGAGGGGTCTCAAGCATAGCACTCCAAGAACCCTTTTGAAATTACCCCAGTAATCAACTAAGAAAGTTATTTTCTAAATGTAGATATGTAAGCTGTTCTTTTAAAGTAAGGTACTTTGAAATATGTAGCATAAACTGGTTCTGCTGTTAAATGGGTCGATTACTAAACTGAGCAGCTGTGTGAGGGCAGCTAACTTTGAATGCACATCTCACTGGCTGGTGTGACTACATCCCACATTGTGCACACCAGTGACTGCATTGCTGCATGTTGAAACTGCATTTTTTACATGTTTTGACTACTTGATCATCTCCCTCTTGCACAT